GAGGCAATGACTTTCCATCTGAAAAAATATTATATTTCTACTCCAAACTACATACAAAAAGAGAATCCTGACAGATTAAATATCTAAATTAGAAAAAATCAAAACTTTGAGACTATCAGAAGTGTAGGAAGTATCTTTATGATCTATCTTGCAAAAGATTTCTTAAACTGAAGACACAAAACAAATTATGAAAGAAAAGATTGTGAAATTTCACTTCATGAGAATTTTGAAGTCTGTACAATTAAACAAGTTAAGAAACAGGTAACGTACTGGAAGAAGTATTTGTAAGATATATAAAAAATGTCAAACAAATAAGAAAAAGTCTAGTAGGTCTAATGGAAAGAATGGGTCAAGGATATTAACTGATAATAAACAGAAATAGGTCAATAAACAGATTTGTACATAGATGTATAAAGAAAATATAACTTCTTTATTTGACATAATTGATTTCATCTTTCTTATCAGCCTCTACCTCATTGGCATAGGGGATTTGAAGGTGGGGGATGCAAACGAGGGTCATTATAAACTTTCTAAGTAAGTTCTACACAGGTTTGGTTCTAATTCTCCTTCAAATAACAGGCACTTTTCTGTAAATGTTGCCTGTTTGGATTCACTCCTCATTCCCTTGCTTCTCAAGATGGTGGTTGGGTACAGTGAGGGGCTTTCCTGATCTAGTACCATCCTGCATCTTGTCTTTCCTAGACTCTTAAATGGGAAGTAAGGCAAAAACTTCTCTTTTCTTGGCCTTCTTCTCAAGTAATGCTAAGGATTTTGGCCCATAGATGCTGAAAGTTATGATACATGGGGGTGATGAAATCTTACATTCTCTGTTCTGTCTGTCTTTTCTTTTCCACATCCTACTCTGGGGAAAGAGCAGCCTTTTTTTCTTTTCAGTGTAGCCTAGTTATATCACCTCGGTCCTCTCTGCACAGTGGTTTCTTTAAAACTGTATGTTCGGACCAACAAACTTGGCTTTTGATATTTAAAAATTACTTAAGAAATTAAGATGCAACTTTTCTGCCTGGAGAAAATTTGATTCTGATGATAGTTGCTTAGTAATGAACTAAAAGAATCATATTTGTGACTTCCAGCCAAAAGACAACTGCTTTAATCTAGGTTGTAGATTGTCTTACCCACTGAAAAGGTTAAAGCTGTTAGATTTGATGTATGGTAAGTTAAAAGACAGTAAGATTTAGAATTATGAAAATATATAAAATTATCTCAAAAAGTGTTAACCCCAGTACACATAAAAAATTGCACTATTTTTCCAGCAATTAGGAAAGTGCAAAATTTAAAAATGAGATACCATTGGCAAACAATTTAAAGTATGGTGCTATAGTGTGGTGAAAGTCTGCTAGAAGCTGTGTAAACTGCTGTAGTCACTCTAGAGAGCAATTTGGCAGTATCTAATAAAACTGTAATGTGTATATCATGCCACCAGCGATACAAGTTCTAGGTATATCTCCTAGAGAAACTCTTCTTCAGGTGTACAAGACAAGTGTGAGGATGTTTATTATAGTGTTGTTTGTAATAGTAAAAACAGTAAACACAAATACCTATTAATAAATTAATGAATAAATTATGGCATGTTCATATGATGGAAACAAATCTTTAGGAGAAATGAACTATACATATTTATAAGTCATAATCTCAAAATAAAGTTTAGGAAAAGAGTAAACTGAAGAGTATCATGCCAGTTATATTGCTTATTTATATCTGTTCATATGTATATGTAACATTCGTGTGTATATATATATATGTATATATATATATATATATACACACACATGCACACACACACATATTTTAAAATTTATTTTATTTATTGAATCAAAATCGATTATACATGTTTTGGGGGTTGAACATTGAGATATGTTGATTAAATCAATATTACTACCATATATATTGTTACAAATTGTAATTATTCTTTATGCCCCTTGTCCGATCACTCCCCTTCCCCCATTTCTGCCCCCTCCCCCCTCTAATTGCCCTAGATTTCTTCTCTTCTTCTGAAAGAATAATGGTTACTCTGTTAAATTGTTGCCTAGATGATCTGTCCAATGCTGAGAGATGTGATCAGGTCCCCCAATATTATCATAGAGCAGATGCTTCTTCTGTCACTCTGAAATGGGTTTTGTGGAAAGAGACATCCTCTTCTTTTCTTTGTCTCTGCTGGTGACTCTTCTTGTGTGAATGCACTCCAGTGGCTGGCAGACCATCTGCATGGTGGTTGTGGCGTGTAGCCACTTTTGTGACAGCCATGGTTATTGTGGTGGCTGTGGTGGCCCACCCACGTGAAGGTGCTGTTTTTGGTATGCTCCTTGGTGGTATGCCTGGTTATGGGGTGTGTTTGGTCCCCTTCTCCATGCCTCTGGTCCCTGGGCAGGTCCCAAGGTGCTGGCGCCATGTGCCTGGTTGTGGGAGAGGGGTCCAGTCCTCTTCTCCATGCCCCGGGTCCCTGGGCAGGCCCCGAGGTGCTGACACAGTGTGCCTGGTTGAGGGAGGGCAGTCTGGCCCCCTTCTCCATGCCCCAGGTCTCTGGGCGGGCCCCAAGGCAGTGGCGCCATGTGCCTGGTTGTGGGAGGAGGGTCTGGTCCCCTTCTCCATGCCTCGGATACCCAGGTGGGCCCTGAGGTGCTGGCATTTTGTGCCTGGTGTGGGAGGAGGGTATGGTCCCTGGCTCCATACCTCAGGTCATTGGGCAGGACCTGAGGCACTGGCTTAGTGTGCCTGATCGTGGGAGAGAGGTTCAGTCTCCTTCTCCATGCCTTGGGTCCCCAGGCAGGCCCCGAGGCACTGGCACAGTGTGCCTGGTTGTGGGAGAGAGGTCCAGTCCCCTTCTGCATGCCTCTGGACCAGCTGGGCCCTGAGGTGCTGACGCAGTGTGCCTTGTTGTGGGAGGAGGGTCTGGTTCCTGGCTCCATGCCTCGGGTCACTGGGCAGGACCCAAGGCACTGGCTTGGTGTGCTTGATTGTGGGAGGGGGGTCTGGTCCCCTTCTCTATGCCTCAGGTCCCTGGGCAGGGCCCAAGGCACTGGTGTGGTGTGCCTGGTTATGGGAGGGGGGTCCAGTCCCTGGATCCAAGCCTCCAGTTCCCATGCAGGCCCCAAGGTGCTGGTAGTGTGCCTGGGTCGGAACTAATTTTCTGTCCTTTGCTTCTAACATGGGGGAACTTCCTGTGGGAACCAGTACTTGAGTGTGTGGTTGTTTAAATTGCTACTTTGCTGCTGTTTCTCTAGGGAAGGGTTTTTGTGCAGCTCAGGGTTTAATGGTTGATCTTATAGGTACTTCTGGCTCTCCAGAGACCCAGTGGATCTGTGTTCTGTAGAATCTCTGATCTGGGCCTGAGTCTTTTCATCAAACTGCACCCCATGCAATTCTGCATTCCTGACCGTTCTCCTGAATGGTCCTGTGCTGACTGGGGGCAGGTCAGCTGTCCTTGCTGTGTCCCAGAGTTCTCCCGGTGTTCCCATCTTGCCCACTGCCCATGCTCCAAACACTTCCTATCGGACGGGCCCTGCGCTGGTCCCTTGCGATGACTCACTGGCCTCTGAATGGCTCCCTTTTTTCAGTTGTTCTGGCTCCTCGCTCCTGCGTAGGTCCATGGGAACCCTGTTAGTGGTCTTGCTGTCCTGGGGGCCATCCTGCCGTCTTCAAGTAACTCCATCTGAAGGGCACAGCTGCAGCTTCTGGTGGCTCCTGCTTCATGTGCTCAGCAGCTACAGCCTTGAAGTGGCCACAGTCCGAAATGCTCAGAGCAGCTTTTTATTTCTCTCATCATAGTTTCTCCTGTCTTCACGAACTCCATAGGTCTCTCTTCCTCTTCCTGTGAGCTCCAGAGGCCCCAGCTTGGCTGATGTTACATTTTTATAGTTGTAAATTTGGTTGATTTTTGGGAGAGAGTGACTCTGGGAACCATCTATTCCACCATCTTGACCAAAACCAGCATTCATATATTGACTGGAATGATACCTACCAATTTCATATCATGATGGGAGTCTTCTTGAAGTTGGGGAGAAAAATGGGGATCGATGGATATGGCAACATTATCTGTAATAATTTCTTTTCCTTATAGTGAAAATAGATATTAAGAAAATAGTATTAAGAAATAACTGCCAATTCGGGGTGGTGGGATCAGATGCATGAAAAATTCTCAATAATAAATTAAACCAAATATCCTTGCTGGGAAGCTGAGTGTTTCTTACTGAGTAGTGGCACCTTTTATCACCCTGAGGGGAAATCGGGGGGAAGCCCAAACTGAAATTCAGGAATAGTCAATTGTTAAAGTATGGCAGAGTATGGCATTGTACAAGCTGCTTCTGGGATGAAACAATATCACAGCTTTTTCTCTTCCTTCCCCCATTAGATATTGCTTTCACTAATTTTTTAATTCTAATTTTAGAAACAGTTCTAAAAGGTCCAGTGAATTACATTTGTGGCATTTATACATTTATTTATTCAATATGCACTTATCTTGATTGGCCAGGTCCAGGGAAAGGAAGAAGAAAGGGAAAAATAAAATCAGTGATCAGAAGCACTTCAGAGGATATTGGGGGAAATCATACAAGTAAATTCATTATTACAGAAAGAAGGTAAAACAATCTGGATTGGAGGGAAAGGAGAGATGCATGGGGAAGTAATGAGAAGGGGTGAGTTACAAAGAAATTTCAGATGAGTTTGTAGCAAGAATAAGGGTGAAAGAGAAAGAATAGAGTTGGCTGAAGGGAACAGAGGTTTAAGAACTGGTGCAGCAGAGGCAATCTGTGGCTGTGGTCCACTTTCCGTGATAAAGGTGCTTGCTAGAATCTACGTTTCTTTTTGATGCCCTCACCTGGGAGGAATTCTGCTAACAAACAAACAAACATACCAAACCAAAACAAAAAATGGAGCTGCCCACGAATGAAGACGTTACATCTCTGGGTGGTGACACGTGCTCACAGTGGGTCGTACCAGATCCACTAGTACCCTTTGCTGTGTGGTCAGAGATTGTTGGAGGCAGTTCATTCTCGGAACAGGCGTCTCTGGGCCTTGCACGGAGGGCAGGGAGAACGCTCAGGACACACACGGGGACTTGGACTCGGAGAGGGAGGCAGAGGTTGGAGTGGTGAGCTGGGGAAGGGCTCCAGAAGGTGGAAGTCCAGGTCGAAGATGGGGTGAGGAGGACGTCTCTCTGGACTAGGGTTGGGGGCCAGAGGACAGGGCTCTGGGATGGGGCCCTGCAGGTTGGGGCTGGACACCCTTCTAGCAGAGGGTTGGAACCCAGCAGCTGAGCCGGCAGGAGGGTCCATCCAGGGCGCCAGGGACTCGGGGTCCGCGTCCTCCTCGTAGGCCTCTTCTTGGGCGGCGGTCTCTGGGACAGATGCGCAGAAGAATCCCTGCTCGCAGACGACATCCTCCCCGGGAGCGTCCAGAAAAGCGCCCAGTTCCAGGTCCACAGGCGAGTCTCTGTGCCCTCGTGAGCGCTCGTCGACCGAGCCCAGGAGGACCTCGGGGACCAGGAGGAGGGTGTGTCCTTGGACAGACACTTGCAGGGCCGACGTGGGCGCGGGCTCCAGCAGCAGGTCGACGTCGTCCAGGGGCAGCTGCAGGGCGCAGCCTGCGGCCAGGACCA